GCAGAGCTGAGCAGGCTGCTGCCCTCTGCTCTCGTAGATGAAGACGCTGGACAGTGAGAACGCCAGGCTGAGCCGGGAGCTGGCGGAGCTGCAGGGCCGCCTGGCGCTGGGCGAGCGGGCAGAGAAGGAGAGCCGGCGGGAGGCCCTGGGCCTCCGGCAGAGGCTACTGAAGGGCGAGGCCAGCCTGGAGGCGGTGCGGCAGGAGGTACCTGGGCAGTGAGGGGCTGGGGGGGGAGGTTCTGGGCTGGAGGTGGTACAGGAGGAGGTACCTGGGCAGTGGGGGGCTGGGAGGGGAGGTTCTGAGCTGGAGGTGGTGTGGGAGGAGGTACCCGGGCAGTGGGGGGAGCTGGGGGGGAGGTTCTGGACCGGAGGTGGTACCTGGGCAGTGGGGGGGCTGGGGGGGAGGTTCTGAGCTGGAGGTGGTACAGGAGGAGGTACCTGGGCAGTGGGGGGCTGGGGGGGAGGTTCTGGGCTGGAGGTGGTGTGGCAGGAGGTACCTGGGCAGTGGGGGGCTGGGGGGGAGGTTCTGGGCTGGAGATGGTATGGGAGGAGGTACCTGGGCAGTGGGGGGCTGGGGGGGAGGTTCTGGGCTGGAGGAGGTACCTGGGCAGTGGGGGGCTGGGGGGGAGGTTCTGGGCTGGAGGTGGTATGGCAGGAGGTACCTGAGCAGTGGGGGGCTGGGGGGGGAGGTTCTGGGAGGTCGGGGCTGCCTTCCCCTCGCTCCAGCAGGAAGCAGGTGGGCACTCCAGAGGCCACTGCCAAGTACTCTTTCTCTGCCCACGCCCTTTCAGAAGCTTTCCCAGTTGTAGTAATAGCCAGAACAACAGTAGAAAGAACAGCAGGCCTACTGTGTGCAGGTGTAAGATAGGGTAGGGGGAGATGGAGTGGGGTTGGGTTCTGTAGACATAACCTTGATTCTTCCAGCAGCCTCATACGTAGGTGGTATTAGTCCTACTTTCTAGGGAGAGCCAGACACTGGGACCAGAGAGGTCAGGGGATCTCCCCAAGGTCACACAGCACCCAGGTCTTCCTTAAGACCTCACTGGAATATACCATGTGACCCTGACTTGTCACTCAAGCTCCCTGTGCTCCAAGTGCTCCCGGGAGAGGGACCAGCCCCGCAGGGGATGAGGACAGTCCTGGGCACAGGTGCTGGCGCCTGCTGGGGCTCAGTAGGTGGGCTCCCAGTGAAACCAGTGACCAGGAGAGGTGGGCGCACGCTCTAAACCCTAGGGCTGTTTGCACATCTGTGCCCATGCACTGTCATGTGTGTCCCCACCGTGTGCACTGAGGGGCAGTGTTGTCCAGTGGCTAGAACAGCCTCCAGAGCTAGTGTGCCAGGCTGGGGGTCCTGGCCCTGCAGCGGGCGGGCTGTGTGACCTGACCCTCCGTGCCCGTTTCATCACCTGTAGAATGGCCATGGGGCCGGCGCGGGGTCTTGCTGAGGCCTGTCTGTGCTGTCAGCTGTCACTGCTGACCCACTGTGTACGCTCCAAGGCTGATACTCACAGGACAGAAAGCAGACTAACATCTCCAGATTCCAAGCAGGGACGCGCGTGCTTGGGTGGAGACCACTGAAGGCATGGTGTGGTCACCTGGGCTGGAGGGCTGCAGGCTGGGCCCTGGGAGGTGGGGTGTCGCTAGGGGCGGCTTTGCTGACCCCCACCTCCTGGCCTCCCCCCCCCCCCCCCCAGCTCCAGGGAGCGCAGCGGAAGCTGCAGGAGCAGGACGGAGAGTTCCGGGTGCGCGAGCGAGGCCTGCAGGGCTCCCTGGAGGAGGCCCGCGGCGCCGAAAAGCAGCAGCTGGAGCGCGCCCGCGGCCTGGAGCTGAAGCTGGAGTCGGCCCGGGCCGAGGCCGCCGAGCTGGGGCTGCGGCTGAGCGCGGCCGAGGGCCGGGCGCAAGGCCTGGAGGCCGAGCTGGCCCGCGTGGAGGCGCAGCGGCGCGCGGCCGAGGCCCAGCTGGGCGGCCTGCGCTCGGCTCTGCGCCGCGGCCTGGGCCTCGGCCGCGCGCCCAGCCCCGCCCCGCGGCCCGCGCCCGGCTCCCCGGCTCGGGAAGCGCCCGCGGGAGGTGAGTCCCGTAGGCCAGCGGGGAGAGGGGGCGGGGGCGGGCCTCGCCGGATCCCCGCCCCTAGCCCCGCCCCACCCTCTGGACCACGCCCTTCAGTGCCCTGCCCCAGGTTCCTGCTGCGGCTCCCTCGCCGGCTCTGGGGCCCCAGCCTCTCCACTCACCTGCGCCCCCTCCCTGCCAACACCCCGTCCTCTGCCGCCGCCCGGCCCAGCCCCACACCGGGCTGTGACCCCGACAGCTCCCCTCATTTGTTTATTCAGTCACTCTGTACTTAGTAAGCACCTACTGCGTGCAAGAGACAGTTCAAGTAATGGGGGCGGAGCAGTCAGCAGCAGGGACACGTCTGCTCTCAGGGAGCTCGAAGTCGCGGTGTGGGAGTGGTGGACAGGAGGCTGGTGGGTGAATCGCGGTGTGGGAGTGGTGGACAGGAGGCTGGTGGGTGAATCGCGGTGTGGGAGTGGTGACAGGAGGCTGGTGGGTGAATCGCGGTGTGGGAGTGGTGACAGGAGGCTGGTGGGTGAATTGCGGTGTGGGAGTGGTGACAGGAGGCTGGTGGGTGAATTGCGGTAGGACGTATGGGCGGTGGCAGGGCTGGAGAAGAGGCGCTGTTGACTGGTGCAGCCCCTGGTGGGAGCAGCAAGGCTGAAAGTACGGTAACTGAGATCCAGCGACGCACTCATCCACGAGTAGCACAGACTGAGAACAAAGTGGGGGACAGGCAGGCGCTCGCCAGCAACTGCACGTGGTCTGTCTCCCGGACGGGCGCTCACAGCCACGACACGGACCGCGCGCGGCGTGTGGGTGAGGCCTGGCTGCAGTATGCCCGGTGGGACAAGTCAGTGGCAGGAGGACAGCGAGTCCGCCAGCGTGGCCACCTGGAGCAGGTGGAGTGGTGACCAGGAGGCTACTTTGGGATCCCAGCGTCTCTGTGAGGCGGTCTTGGTCCAGGCCCTCCCTGGGTGTCCACGGAGACTTGGTTCCAAGGCTCCCCAGCCGCACCCAGTGCCGGTGTCCAGTGGCGTAGCATTGGCGCATCCTTGCGTTCTGAGCCGGCTCTGGCTGCCGGTAGGGCCCACCGCAGTGGGGCCGCTGCGTGAGCGGTTGTCAGGCGGTGTTGCTTAGGGAACCACAAGGAAAATGTTCCGAACGGGCTCAGTGTGGATGCACTTTTCTTCCCCAAATACTTTCCGTCTGCACGTGGTGCTGATCGACTGTGCAGGCACAGAGCCTGCAGATTCCAGGGCCAGCTGTCTCAGGCTGCGGGGCGGAACCACCAGGGCCAGCTGTCTCAGGCTGCGGGGCGGAACCACCAGAAACCCCGGTCTTCCTATCCTGGGGGCCACATGTGTGAAGTCCAAGTGTGGGCGCCGTGGCCCCGGGCAGCTGCCGGCCAGCCCCTGAAGTGGACGGCAGCCTGGCTGCAGGCAGCCCTGCCGCAGGCAGCCCATGGTGGTCCTGTGCTGTGTCTGTCCACATGACCCCTGTCCAGGACAGCGGTTGCACTGGTCTCGGCCTGCCCTGTCCAGGGTGACCTCAGTGACCTCTTTCCAAACAAGGTCTTGTTATGAGGTCCAGGGATGGGGGGTGATGAGAAAGGTGATGGGTAACCCGCGCCACTCAGCGGCGCCCTGAGAACTGGGTACTAACGTTGGCCCGCTTTGTCCCTGCAACGAGAAGACCGGCAGGGGGCTGGGGCTGTCGGTGGAAAACGAGGAGCCTCACAGAGGAGGGCGAGCAAGGTGTCCAGGGAGCGGCAGGGCTGGGACCCCGGGGGGGAGAGGGTGGCCCTGAGCCGCAGGGGTGACAGAGGGGCAGTGCGGCGAGCAGGGTGGGGTGTCGGGGACATGGCATGCGTGGGCGCTGCCTGCAGGCTGGGAGAGGGGGCTGGTGCTTACGCGGGGCGGGGGGTGGGGTCCCGCTCCTTTGGGTGACCCTTGGCTGAGACAGGAGGATGTAGAGGTTAGGGTCCCCTGTCCTGCAGCTGCGTGCTCTGCCCCCCCCCCGCCCAGCCTCGCGGTCCATCATCTCCCACCCAAGTCCCCGGTTTTCCTGGCTCTGAGACCTGGTGTTGAGATCTAGCAAGCGCTAAACTGTTTTGAGCACACCTTGCCTGTGAAGTGCGCACGCGCGCGTGCGTGTGTGTGTGTGTGTGTGTGTAGTGGGGGTTGCCTTGCCTGTCGGGTTGTGTGAGGAGGAATTGAGGCACCGCGGGGCTGGCACTGGCCCAGTGCTCGGCACATCGTAGGTGCGTGGTCCAGGGAGGTGTTGCGGTGGTGGCGCATCTACCTGGGCCATGGCCCTCATCGTGATGGTCATGGTCTGGGGGGGCAGACATTAGACCCCCATGAAGGGGGAGGAGCTCGCTCCCACCCAGCCTGGGACCAGGGAAGTCTGAGGAAGGGGCCTGAAGTGCGGGCCAAAGAGAAGCCAGGGGCGGGGGCTGGGCAGGGGGAACAGCATGTATGGAGAGCCGAGGGCAGGAGCAGGGAGTGTTCCAGAACACGGGAGCAGAGGGTGGTGCAGGGTGGCCAGTTTTGAAGGAGTGAGGGGGTGGTGCTGGGTGGCCAGTTTTGAGGGAGTGAGGGGGTGGTGCAGGGTGGCCAGTTTTGAGGGAGTGAGGGGGTGGTGCAGGGTGGCCAGTTTTGAGGGAGTGAGGGGGTGGTGCTGGGTGGGCCTCCGAGCTCTCTCTCTCTCCGAGCAGAGAACTTGGATGTGATTCTGAGGGCCGTGGGGCTGGCGAAGTCCTAGCAACAGCCTGGCTGGGCACACGGCAGGGAGAGCATGAGCGAGCGAGACACTTCAGGAGCCCGGAGCGCCATTCTGGTGGGACAGGCTGGTGGCTCCCGCAGCCCTGAGCGTGTCCTGTCTTCTAGGAAGTGAGGAAGGGTTCAGCAGCCCCAGCCCCTTGGAACGCAGCCCTGGGTCCCAGCCACCGTCCCCAGGAGCTGCCACCTCCCCAGCTCCTCCAGACCTGGACCCGGAGGCAGTGCGGGGGGCCCTCCGGGAGTTCGTGCAGGAGCTGCGGAGCGCCCAGCGGGAACGCGTGAGCCTGGGTGGGAGTGGCTGGAAGGGGAGCAGGTGGCCGAGGGTCCTGCTGGGGCTGCAGATGTCAGAGCAGGGGTCTTCCCTTCTCCCCCCACTTGGGCTGCAGGACGAGCTTCGGACCCAGACGGGCGCCCTGAGCCGCCAGCTGGCCGAGATGGAGGCCGAGAAGGACAGCGCGACCTCGCGGGCCAGGCAGCTGCAGAAGGCGGTGGCCGAGAGCGAGGAAGGCGAGTTTGACTCGGGGTCCTGCCCCCTTCCCTGCGCTCCTGGCACTGTCTCCCCCGGGCCCTGTGGCGGGTAGGGTGCAGGCTGGGCATTCCGTGGTCTTGGGGCTGTGCCTGGCCATGCCTGACGGGGCTGGTGACGGCCACAGCCCGGCGCAGTGTGGATGGGCGGCTGAGCGGGGCCCAGGCGCAGCTGGCACTGCGGGAGGAGAGTGTGCGGCGCAGCGAGCGGGAGCGCCGGGCCACGCAGGACCAGGTGGCCGCGCTGGAGAGGAGCCTGCAGGCCGCTGAGAACGAGCTGCGGGCGAGCCAGGTGGGCAGGCGCTGAGGGCCAGGGAGGGTTGACTGTGTGCCCACGGGGGTCAGGGCCGCTGGGGCTTCTGTCTGCCCGAGTCTCTGCAGCCCCTCGAGTCTGTGAGTCCCCACAACACCCCATCAGCTTCTTCTTCTTCTTCTTTTTTTTTTTTTTGAGAGGCAGAGTGGACAGTGAGAGAGACAGAGAGAAAGGTCTTCCTTTGCCGTTGGTTCACCCTCCAATGGCCGCCGCGGCCGGCGCGCTGCGGCCGGCGCACCGCGCTGATCCGATGGCAGGAGCCAGGAGCCAGGTGCTTTTCCTGGTCTCCCATGGGGTGCAGGGCCCAAGCACCTGGGCCATCCTCCACTGCACTCCCTGGCCACAGCAGAGAGCTGGCCTGGAAGAGGGGCAACCGGGACAGACTCCGGCGCCCCAACCGGGACTAGAACCCGGTGTGCCGGCGCCGCAAGGCGGAGGATTAGCCTAGTGAGCCGCGGCGCCGGCCCCCATCAGCTTCTTACCTGAGATCACCAGACTGTAGAAAAAGGGGCTTTTCTTGTATTAAAAAATTGATTTGAAAGAGCAAGGGAAGGAGAGAGAGAGAGAGAGAGAGGAGAGAGAGATCTTCCATCAGCTGGCTCATTCCCCAAATGGCCTCAATGGCCAGAGCTGGGCCAGGCCAAAGCTGGGGGCCTGGCCCTCCACGTGGGTCTCTTGCGTGGGTAGCAGCGGCCAGGCACTGGGCGAGCCTCTGCTGCTTTCCCAGGGGCGTTAGCAGAGCGCTGGATCAGAAGGGCAGCAGCGGGGCCTCCGGCTGGTGCGCAGATGGCATGCTGGGTCGCAGGTGGTGGCTTAACCTACACACCACAGCACTGGCCCCAGAGCGCGATACACTTGAGTTCAAGTCCGGCCTTGGCCAGGCCAGATGTCTGACCCTCATTTTCGCCACGTGAGACAGGGAGGCCAGTAATGGCCTCACAGAGGCGACACACGTTAAGATTTAGTACACGGGGCCGGCGCCGCGGCTCACTAGGCTAATCCTCCGCCTTGCGGCACCGGCACACCGGGTTCTAGTCCCGGTCGGGGCGCCGGATTCTGTCCCGGTTGCCCCTCTTCCAGGCCAGCTCTCTGCTGTGGCCAGGGAGTGCAGTGGAGGATGGCCCAAGTGCTTGGGCCCTGCACCCCATGGGAGACCAGGAGAAGCACCTGGCTCCTGCCATCAGATCAGCGCGGTACGCCGGCCACAGGGCACTGGCTGCGGCGGCCATTGGAGGGTGCACCAACGGCAAAAGAAAGACCTTTCTCTCTGTCTCTCTCTCACTGTCCATTCTGCCTGTCCAAAAACAAACAAAAAAAAAAGATAAAAAAAAAAAGAAAGACCTTTCTCTCTGTCTCTCTCTCACTGTCCACTCTGCCTGTCAAAAAAAAAAAAAAAAAAAAAAAAAGATTTAGCACACGGGTGGTGGTAAATCTCCATGTCTCCACAGAGAGCCACATGAGTGCTGTTCTGGGGGTTTTACATGTGTCTGTGTGTGTGTGTGTGTCTGTGTGTGTGTCTGTGTGTGTGTATATGTCTGTGTTTGTGTGTCTGTGTGTGTGTATGTCTGTGTGTTTGTGTGTGTCTGTGTGTGTCTGTGTCTGTGTGTGTGTGTCTGTGTGTGTGTCTATGTGTCTGTGTGTCTGTGTGTGTCTGTGTGTCTGTGTGTGTCTGTGTGTGTCTTTGTGTGTCTGTGTGTGTGTGTGTTTGTGTGTCTGTCTCTGTGTGTGTGTCTGTGTGTGTGTCTGTGTGTGTCTGTGTGTCTTTGTGTGTGTCTGTGTGTGTGTCTGTGTCTGTGTGTGTCTTTGTGTGTCTGTGTGTGTATGTGTTTGTGTGTCTGTCTCTGTCTGTGTGTGTATGTGTGTGTGTCTGTGTCTGTGTGTATGTGTGTGTGTCTGTGTGTGTGTCTGTGTGTATGTGTGTGTGTCTTTGTGTGTGTGTGTGTCTGTGTGTGTGTCTTTGTGTGCATGTGTGTGTATGTGTTTGTGTGTCTGTCTCTGTGTCTGTGTCTGTGTGTGTCTGTGTGTCTGTGTGTATGTGTGTGTGTCTGTGTGTCTGTGTCTGTGTGTGTCTTTGTGTGTCTGTGTGTGTGTCTTTGTGTGTCTGTGTGTGTATGTGTTTGTGTGTCTCTGTGTGTCTGTGTGTGTCTGTATGTATGTGTGTGTGTCTTTGTGTGTCTGTGTGTGTATGTGTGTGTATGTGTGTGTGTATGTGTCTGTGTGTGTGTCTGTGTGTGTATGTGTGTGTGTCTGTGTGTTTCTGTGTGTGTGTCTCTGTGTGTGTATGTGTGTGTGTTTCTGTGTGTGTGTCTGTGTGTGTATGTGTGTGTGTGTGTATGTGTGTGTGTGTGTCTGTCTTGTCTGTCTGTCTGGGACAGGAAGCCCTGGCCCTGGTGGTGGCAGAGTATGCTGCCAGAGCTTGAGATTTCAGCCAGCGACCCCCTCCCCCCCAGGCTCTCTCACTTCTCCCCCTGGGCCCTGTGTGACCACTCCCTTGTGATCACTGCCTCAGTCCAGCCCCCGCCTCTGGCTGGGGCCCGGCTGTGAGCTGGGTTGTTGTGTCTGGAGCCTCAGCTCTGGCCCTGGGCCCAGCCACAGGGGCTGCGGGAGGAGGCCAGAACAAAGCTGGGCAGGAGCCAGAATGGGGGCTCTGGGCCCAGGCTGGGCAGGGTTGGGGCTCTGAGCAGGGCAGGAGCTGGGCTGGGCTTGGGGTGGGGGTGGGGAGGCTGTAGACACCGCCCCATGACCCAGCCCGTCTCCAGGGCAGTGCTCGGGCCTCAAGGACCCCTCGTCTGTCTTCCTGCCCCGTTCCCAGTCCCCAGCCTCCCTCACTGGGAGAATTCCCTCTTTGAACCCTGGAACAGCAGCGGCCCCAGGAGCTGCTAGCTCCTGGGCCAGCCCCTGGGGGCAAAGGCAGGGGCCCTGGAATCTGCATGTGTCGGTGAGCCCTGGGCTGGGGGGCCCCAGCCTCCCGCTGTGCAGACCAGAAACAGAGCCCTAGAAAAGGGGCGGTCCTGGGGCGCAGAGCTGGCCCTTACTGCACGTGCACCGGGGGCCTCCCCTGAGCCCTGGCGGGTCTGGCCTGGTCCCCACTGGGCCCCAGGGCTCCCGAGGGAGGCGGGGCGCGGACCGGTGGGTGGGGCCTGGGGCCTGAGCCTGCGCACCTGCAGGAGAAGCTCAGCAAGATGAGGGCCAACGAGGGGAGGCTGGAGAGCGACCGGCGGCGCCTGAAGGAGGTGCTGGACGCCTGCGAGGGCCGCGCCGTGAAGCTGGAGCTGCAGCGGCGCTCGCTCGAGGGGGAACTGCAGCGCAGCCGCCTGGGCCTGAGCGACCGCGAGGCGCGGGCCCAGCTCCTGCAGGACCGCGTGGACTCCCTGCAGAGACAGGTGGGTCGCTCCGAGGGTGCGCGTCGTCCCCATTTTACAGAGAGGCAAACAGAGGCTCAGCGAAGGGCCAGCATCGCTCAAGATCTCGTAGCTAACAAAAGGCAGGGCCAGCATGAGTGTTCAGGACTGTTTGGTGCTGGAGCCTGCGCTCGCGGGAGCCACGGGAGACCAGTCAGAGGTGCAGGTCTCGCGGATTCTCTTCGGCCTTGGCTGCTGGGAGCTCAGCTCTAGCTGGGATGTTGGCTCACCCTGCTCGCACTGCACGGGCACCAGCCAGTCACAGGACAGCACACTCGAGGGTCGTGGTGCTCCCAGCATGGAGGAGAGGGGAGCAAGGACAGAGACTGGCATCCGGGTCAGCCCGGCTGATGGGGCTCTGGGCCAGGGCGGTTAAGCAGCCGCAGACTGGGGCCCGGGCTGCAGCAGCTGAGTCTGTGGGAGCTCCTGGGAACATAGGGTGTCAGCCGCCGAGGCCCGGAGAGAGGTGGGAAGGCGTGGGTCGGACACGCGCGGTGGAGGCCGGGTGGGAGCGGAGCCCCTCGAGCACCGGCTCTGTCCTCCTGCCAGGTGGCAGAGGGCGAGGTGAAGGCGAAGACCCTGCAGTTAACAGTGGAGCGGCTGAGCGCGGCCCTGGCCAAGCTGGAGGAGAGCGAGGGGGCCCTGCGGGACAAGGCGCAGGGCCTGACGGAGGCCCTGGCCCAGAGCAACGCCAGCCTCACCAGCAGCCAGGACAGGAACCTGCACCTGCAGAAGGCCCTGACGGCCTGTGAGCACGACCGCGAGGTGCTGCAGGTACGGGGGTCCAGGCGCTGGCTCGGTGACGGCGGGAAAGGGCGGGCTGGGGGGGACCTGGTAAAGACCCAGCCAGTGGGACAGTCACTGGGAACCCTGAGGAGCCAATGAGGACAGGCTTGGAGAGAGGGGCGGGCCCAATACGGCATCAGCCAATGAAGGAAGCCCTGGGGGTTATGCCCAATAAGACCACAGCCTCCTAACAGGCTTGGGGGACCTAGGAGCAGAGTTAATGGGAGAGTCAGGTCCCAGTGGTTCCTGCCTTAGGCGGGTCTGGGCAAGCTGTGGGCTAGACTTGGCTGTCCGGCTCACCTTCCACATGAGATCACGCCTGTCTTACGGACTGTGGACTGCCCCCGGGGTACGGAGTAGAGGGGAGACCTTGCCTTGGGGCTCCCAGGCCAGCCCGGCCCCATCAGCCCCTGTTCCCCAGGAGCGGCTGGACGCCACCCGGCAGGCATTATCTGAGGCGCGGAAGCAGAGCAGCTCCCTGGGCGAGCAGGTGCAGACGATGCGGGGCGAGCTGGCGGACCTGGAGCTGCAGCGGGCAGAGGCCGAGGGCCAGCTGCAGCAGCTGCAGGAGGTGAGGGCCGGGGGCTCCTCTGTCCTCAGGATGGCCGGCTTTGGGACCTTCCCCCCACCCCGCCTTCATCCCCAACTCTGTTCACTCAGCCCACACCTCCATTACACAGATGGAGAAACTGAGGCTCCGAAAGAGCTCTCTGGGCTCAGGAGACAGTTCTGCAACTCGGGCCTCGGTGGGCCAGAGGGGTGAGGGCCCTGCCTGGCTTCCGCCCTAGGTGCTGCGGCAGCGGCAGGAGGGCGAGGCTGCGGCTCTGCACTCGGTACGGAAGCTGCAGGACGAGCGGCGGCTGCTGCAGGAGCGCCTGGGTGGCCTGCAGCGCGCCCTGGCTCAGCTGGAGGCCGAGAAGCGCGAGGCGGAGCGCTCCGCCCTGCGGCTCGAGAAGGACCGCGTGGCCCTCCGGAGGACCCTGGACAAGGTGGGCTGCGCGGGACCTCCCTGCCCGCCCCCTGCCCGCGCCGCTGCCCCCGGGGCCGGTGTGAGCTCCTCCCCCGCTCTCCCTGCCCAGGTGGAGCGGGAGAAGCTTCGCAGCCACGAGGACTCGGTGCGGCTGAGCGCGGAGAAGGGCCGCCTGGACCGCACGCTCACGGGGGCGGAGCTGGAGCTGGCCGAGGCCCAGAGGCAGATCCGGCAGCTGGAGGTGCGGCCCCGCCCCCAGCCTGACCCTCTCACTGCCCCTAGCCCAGGACCCGAGGGCAAAGCAGTCCCAGGCAGAGCCCGCCACCCTCGCCACCTCACTGGTGGGATGGGGATCCCTGGGTCCCCTGATGGAGGTTCACAGGTTCAGTGTCAGGCCCAGGAGATGCGGACCAAGCAGGTTTCTTCTGCATTCCGCACCTGCACTGGCTGTGTGCCCATCACGGGCACAGGTGCACACACACACACCCCTGACACCCATCACACACACACACACCTACACACACCCCTGACACCCATCACACACACACACACCTACACACACCCGACACCCATCACATGCACATGCACACACACACCTGACACCCATCACACACACATGCACACACACACCTGACACCCATCACACACACATGCACACACACACCTGACACCCATCACACACACACACCTGACACCCATCACACACACACACCTACACACACCCCTGACACCCATCACACACACACACACGCACACACTGACACCCATCACACACACATGCACACACACACTGACACCCATCACACGCACACACACACACACCTGACACCCATCACACACACACACACACACCTGACACCCATCACACACACGCACACACATACCTGACACCCATCACACGCACACACACCTGACACCCGTCACACACACACACATACACCCACCTGACACCCATCACACACACACACCTACACACACCCCTGACACCTATCACATGCACACACACAACCTGACACCCATCACACACACATGCACACACACACACCTGACACCCATCACACACACACACACACGCACGCACACGCGGCCAGAAGCCTGAGTGGCAGCCCCCGCAGGCCCAGGTGGTGGTCCTGGAGCAGAGCCCCAGCCCCGCGCAGCTGGAGGCCGAGGAGCAGCAAAGGCAGGAGCTGCAGCAGGAGGTGGAGCGCCTGCGCAGTGCCCAGGTGCAGACGGAGCGCACGCTGGAGGCGCGGGAGCGGGTCCACCGCCAGAGGGTGCGTGGGCTGGAGGAGCAGGTAGGCAGGGTCCCCGCTCTGGGGGGGGCGGGGCTGCAGGGGCAGAGGGGCCGCCGATGGCTCCCCAGCCTGAAAAGGGACCAGGGTGGGTGGATGCTGGTATCAGCCTGGCTGGGGCTCAGCCCCCTCCGGCTCCACGACCAGGTGGGCCCCCTCGCTGGGCGGCACAGGTGGCCTTGCCCAGGAGAGGCCGGGAGCACCGGCACCAGCCCAAGGGCCTCTCCTCCCTGACGGCCTGCGCCCACCGCGACTGCAGGGCACGGCTGCCCTGATCGGCCAGGCCTGGTCACGCCCAAGGGATGATGGGGGACAGGGTGGGAGTGGGGCAGCCCCAGCTGCACACGAGAAGAGAGGGGCACCCTGGCTCCCCCTGACAGCAGACTGTTCCCAAAACAGGCAGCCCCGGGTCCCGCCACGCCCGCCATCTGTAAGTCAGGCGGGGGGCTCGCTGGCCTCACGTCTCTGTCCCCAGGTGTCCACCCTGCAGGGACAGCTGCAGCAGGAGCTGCGCAGGAGCTCAGCGCCCTTCTCCCCGCCCTCTGCCCCCGCCGAGAAGTGAGCCCCCCCCCCCCCGGCGCTGCAAGGCAGGGAGCAGCCCCTCTGCCCGTGACCGCCCGGAGCTGGCGTGGGGTGGGGGCAGCTGTGGCTTCCTGGCACCCCCAGGGACCCCCAGGTCTCCAGGGACGTCCACTCTAGATTGTACAAGGCGGAGCGGAAGCTGGAACCTGGGCGAGCTCTTGTCTGGCCAGCCTGCAGCAGGGGCTCATGGGAAGGAGCGGGAGTCAGACTCGGGCCCTGTCTCTGGCTGCCCAGAAATCTCTCTGCCTCAGTTCAGAGCGTTTATTAGGACATTCCTCAGAGTTACTGTATTTTTATACCTTTTTCTAATGTTAACAGTTGAGAACCGTGTTTTTTGTAATAAGAACCCATTTTCTAAAAATGGTGTGTGCCAACAAGTCCCTTTCCTATACCAGAATGTGCCTCGTCCACCTGGGAGGCAGTGGACAGGCAGGGCCCTGGGACAGGGGGATGGGACCCCTGGGAAGCAGTGTTGGGGGGTCCTGAGCCAGCCCCCACCCACCCCATTAAACAGATGAGACTGTCGAGGCTTGGGGCTGACGCAGCCCGCAGCCTGCCCCATTCCTAACGCTTTCTTGCCCTTTCTCTGGCCCCTCCTCTGGACAGTGACTGGCCAACCAGGCAGCGTGGGGGCAAACTCAGGCTGAGGGGACCCCGTGGGGCAGTCCTGGGCCCACCCATCTGAGCCTCACTGTGCTGGCTGGGAGGAGCCGGGCTGGCCAGTCCTGCCCTGCGCTGGCTGTGGCCCCCTGGGTGGTCCCTGATGCCCCTGGGCTCCCTTTCCCTCCCTGGAAGGTGGGGGTACTGTCCACAGCACCCAGGCCTCGGTGGAGGGCACAGAGCTCAGAGCTGGATCCCACGTGCCGGGCAGCGGAAGCGGTTTCAGCCGCGGGCCTGGGGCCTGGTTTGTGCCTCTGTGCGGCCGCAGCCTTTCCCTCCCAGACGCAGGCCCTGAGCCTCAGGGTCTGAGCTGCCTCTGGCCTCAGCTCCACCCCCAACACACACACACACACACACACACACGCGCGCGCGCACCCCTTCTGCCTCCCTGGTCATGGGGCGCGTGCCCGCATCCAGCAGCCGGGGTTCAGAAAGCGCCTCCCTGAAACCTACTTCCAGCACCCTGGCCCTGGGGGCGGTATCAGGCCCGCCCTGGGCAGGTCCGAGCAGACGCAGGGACAGGAGGCTGGGACGGCAGGGGTGAGGCCACCCATTCCGGTGAGCGCCCTCTCCAAGGGGTAGGGAGCTGCTGGCGGGGGCGGGGGAGCAGCCAGTGTTGGAGCCCCTGGCTGCCCTGCTGCACTCTGGACCCAAAGAGGGACTGGACCTTTTGTAAAAACTCATGTTTAATTTTGTATAAAACAAAAGTGGCCCATGCCCGGGAGACGGCCAGCTGGAGTGAGCTCACAGCCCATCCCGGGGCTGTCCCCAGCGGGACGGAGAAGGCACATCGGGGTGCAGGTCTCACAGAGAGGCCTGAGATGTCCCCACCCCGGGGGCAGAGAGTGGCCCAGAAGGAGCCCCCACCCCATGGTGGGCATAGACTGACGCGCGAGGCACCACGACAGCCCCCCCCCCGGGGCCGCAGTCCACCCACTGTTGACAGAGTAGGAGGGAGGGGGTGGGGACAGAAGCACCAGTGAGGCAGCGCCTGGGGTCCAGGGCTGGGGTGCCCGCTCCGCCCTAGCAGCCCCCGCAGCTCCTGGCGCAGGAGACCGCCACTGAGTGGCACAGGCCGCTGCTGGCCATCACGCCGCACTTGGAGAACTTGTCCCGGCACAGGTCAGCTGTGGGGGCAGGGAGGGGCAGGGGTCAGGGGCTTCGGGCCGAGGACAGACGGGAGCGGGGCGGGGGGGTGGCGCAGGCTCTGGCCGTGGGCCCTGAGTTGGGCTCGGCCCACGGTAGGGGCAGGGGGTGGCAGGCCGGGCAGCGCGGGGCGGGGTCCGGGCCAAGGCCCTCCTACCTCGCAGGAGCTCCTCATGGGCACACACGGTGCGCACACAGATCTCCTTGTTGACAACGTACACGCGGCGGAGGCTGGGGGACACGGTCAGGGCAGGTCTCAGCCCCACCTTCGCCCCCACCCCCCGGGGGCCTTCCAGTCCAGCCTGGCCCAGGCTTCACCACAGGCAGGGTTTGCTGTCTCCCCAAACGCCCGCCTGGGTGGGTGGGAGCTGCCCTTTCCCCCCCACCCCCCCACCCCACCCCTCATGGCGGCTCCGTGCCTGCGCCCACCTGTAGAAGCAGACCTCGTTGAGACACTGTTTGCAAGGCTTGTGTATGGAGTAGAGGCGGGTGCACGGGTACTGCTCCTCTCGGCAGTCTGGGTGGCAGGCGGGGTCAGACCAGCGACCCCAGGGTCGGGGTGCAGCCCCCAGCTCGGCCCACCTGAGACCCCAGGCTCATCCCAGACGCCAATACCCACACTTGGCTGGGGTGGCCCAAGGGATGCCTCTCAGCCAGCCTGGGCTCCCTGCCCCTCTGGCCCCACCCCTCCCTGCGCCTCCCCTGGCTGGGGCCAACGCAGCCAGGCCCACGGGGGAGGGTGGGGTCTCCAGAGCTGCCCGGGTGGGGGTGGGTGCTGGAGATGCCAGTTGAAAGCAGGGGGTGGTGTGCAACTGCCCAGCGCCCCACGTCCCCACCAGCAGCCCACACTCCCCAAGCCGGCCAGTCCACCAGCGCCGCCAGCTCCACCCCACGCCCTGGGCCATGCCTTGGTTTCCCCGGCAGGCAGGAAGTCTTACCAAGGGGCCCAGGCTCCGTGGGCTCTGTCTCTCCGTTTCCTGGTTCTGTCGGGGCAGGCGGGGCTCATGGAGTGAGGTGTATTCAGGGCGGGGCAGGTCCCCCTCCCCTCCCGGAGCAGGGGCCTGTGGCCCACCTGGGGTGGGAACGGGGATGACTTCCTGTTGCACTTGCTGCTGGGACTGGAACTGGAACTGCTCCTCCTCCGAGGGCCGAGTGCTCATCTCTGCAACAGGGCCATGAGGGCTCCGCCCGCCCGCCCTCCCAGGCTCCCGCCCAGCCTGGCCCTCCATCCTGCCCCAGCCCCTTTACCGTGGTATTCGTAGTAGTCCGGGGTTTCTGAGAGCAGAGGAAGGGGGAACGAGTGTGAGTCAGGCTAGGCCCTAGCCCCAGGGGCGGGTGAGGCCACAGCTGAGCCAGGGCCCAACCCCTGGGGGCCCCCATGAGCCAGCCCCTCCTGGTCCCTGGCAGAGGCACACACAGCTGGGGAGCTGGGCGAGGGGGCGTCTGGGGGCGGCACAGCCCTTACCGATTTGGTCGCCGTAGTGAGGGTACTGCCCATGGTCAGGGAATGGCGGCAGCGGGTCCAGGTCGTATTGGCCCTGAGCCAGCAGGCCTGCTGTGGAGACGCAAGCCATGGAGGAGTGCCCCCCAGGGAGGACAGCAGGGTCCTGGAGGTGGTCACAGGGCCGGGGACCCGCACCCGGACTCAGGCTCACAAGACCTCATTCTCCAGCCTCAGTTATAAAGGCCCTTCTGCTAGCTGGTCCTGTCAGCCTCCCTGACCTCACCCTGCCCTGGGACGCCTGCTTGCCCCAGGGCCTTTGCACAGGCCTCTTCCTGGACCTGGGCCACCCGGGTGGCTTCTTCAATTTCAGGCCTCACCTTGAACTTCAGCTCTGCCGAGAGGCTGTCCCGGCACCCACCCTGTTGCTTCCATCACAGCACAGTCTACCTGGTGACTGCTGTGTCCCTTTCCTGGGCTGGGGCACCAGGAGGGCAGGGCTTTGTCCAGTGGACAACAGGAGCCCCACGTGTGGCCGATGAGCCTCTACCAAAGCCCACTCCCCCCCTCCCCGGAGTGAGGGAGCCCCGCCCCCTGCCGGGGCCTCTTACCGGGCAGCAGGAGCAGGAAGAGGGAGGCAGCTCTCATGGCCACGGAATGCAGAGGCAGGGGCTGTTTGTAGAGGCAGCTAGAAGGAGAGGAACACGGGAGCTGCAACTCAGGCCCGCGGAGCCCACTCTGTGCCTGGAGTCCTGCCTGCCAGGGGCCCTCAAAGAGGAGCCAGGCATCTGGACGGCCGAGGGCTGTGAGCAGGGCCCACTCGGCAGGGACCCCCGGGGGCTGCCTCACCAGGGCCAAGGCCTCCCACCTGGCTGCATGGCTGATTTTTTTTTAAATTTATTTTTAAGGCAAAGTTACGGGGTGGGCTGGGGGAGAGACACAGGGAGATCTTCCATCAGTTGGTTCACTCCCTGCAACAGTGATGGCTAAGCCAGGCCGAAAGCCAGGAGCTTCCTCCAGGTCTCCCATGAGGGTGCAGGGGCCCCAGCACATGGGCCATCCTCCGCTGCTTTCCCAGGTGCGCGAGCAGGGACTGGAATCGGAGCAGCCGAGATTCGAACAGGTGCCCACATGGGACGCCAGGATTGCAGGCAGCGGCTTCACCCGCTGCGCCCCAGCGCCAGCCACTACGTGGCTGGTCTTGACCCATGAGCACACCCCACGCTGTGCCCAGTCCTCTCGGGGCACCCCCAGCCCCGTTCCTCACACCCGTTCCTCACACCCTGGGGGTGCCCAGTGCACTGCCTGTGTGGATCCTTGTCCCCAGGCTCTTCCTCAAGACACCAGCCCTGCCCAGCCAGCATCATAGCCGGGACCCAGCGTGCCGGCCCAGCCCGCCACCTGTTCCCAATTAGCCCCCCGGCCCTGAGCATCTTGCTTGGCAGGAAACCACATGCGGTGAGGGGCCCTGGAGCAGCCCGCGCCGGGCAGGGCTCCCAGCCCCAAGAAGACTCCGCTGCTGCCAGGCCGCCGGCCTCCCAAGACCTGGCTGTCTGCGGCCCAGGCCCAGGCACGAGACTGAGGCTGTCTGTCGTCCGCACGGCCGGAAGCACTCAGGGCAGGGCCTGCACGGGGCGCCTCAGGCTCTGGGGGGCCCAGGCCGTGATGTGGCCAGCCCAGGGTGCTGCCCTGAGACCAGTGGTGTGTGTGGGGGAGCTGTGGGGGGGCCCCGGCCGGGGCTTTCATCAACTCCCTGACAGCGTCCCATCACTGGTCTTGGCGACCACAGTGTGTGTGTGTGTGTGTGCGTGTGTGTACTGGCCCATCTGTCCAGGAGTGTGTGTGTGTGTGTGTGCTGGCTCATCTGTCCAGGAGTGTGTGTGTGCGTGTGTGTGCTGGCCCATCTGTCCACGACTGTGTGTGTGTGTGTGTGCTGGCCCATCTATCCAGGAGTGTGTGTGTGTGTGTGTGTGTGTACTGGCCCATCTGTCCAGGAGTGTGTGTGTGTGCTGGCCCATCTGTCCAGGAGTGAGTGTGTGTGTGTGTGTGTGCTGGCTCATCTGTCCAGGAGTGTGTGTGTGTGTGCTGGCCCATCTGTCCAGGAGTGAGTGTGT